AGGCAGAAGGATTGCTTAAGCCCAGGAGTTTGAGGTTGCTGTGAGCTAGGATGACGCCACGGCACTCTAGCCCGGGCAATGCAGTGAGACTCTGTCTCAAAAAAAAAAAAAATGGGCAAAGGATTTAAATAGATGTTTCTCCAAAAAGAGGATATGCAAATGTCTGATAAACACATGAAAAGATGCTCAACATCATTAGTCATCAGGGAAATACAAAGTGAAACCACAGTGAGATACCACTTCACACCCAGTATGATGGCTGTAATTAAAAAGACAGGAACAAATGTTGGGAAGGATGTGGAGAAACTGGAACTTAATACATTGCTGATGAGAGTATAAAATGATGCAGTCACTTTGGAAAATAATTTGACAGTTTCTTAAGCAGTCAAATTTACCATATTACCCAGCAGTTTCACTCTAGTTACGTACCCAAGAGAAGTAAAAACATGTCCACACAAAGGCTTGTATGTGGATGTTCACAGTATCATTACAATAGCTCCAAACAGGAAATAACCCAAATGTCTATCAACTGGTGAATCAATAATCAAAATGTTTTTATCCATGTAATGTAATATTTCTTCAGAAATAAGAAACTTAAGTACTGATACATGTTGCAACATGGATGAACTTCAAAACATGCTAAATGATAGAAGTTAAACACAAAAGACCGTATATCATATGATTCTGTTTATATGAAATTTCCGGAAGGGGATAATCTAAGAGACAGTACACAGTGGTTACTGGGGGTAGGAATGGGGGAGTAACTGCAAGTGGACTTGAGAGATCTTTTAGGGGTGATGAAAATATTCTAAAATTGGATTGTGATCATGGTTGTACAACTGCAAAATCACTAAAACTCATGGTATTTTATAACAGGTCAATTTTATGGTATATTAATTATACCTTATTAAAGCTGATGAAGAATTAATAAGTTTCTATATCTAATACAGCTTTCAAATAAACTCCCAAAATTATTTTACTTATTTTCCCTTGTCTAGGGTCAAATATGGTAAATTAGTTCTTGCCACACATTTTACTAAAACCCAGTGATTAAAAAGAATTTAATTGCGTGTTGAGATGTCAGACTCAAGTTGGAAACTGCCTGGCTAAGTTCAGGAGAATATTCTCTCTAGTTTTATAATTATCTAATCAAATTCTCTTTCCCAGTTTATAATTTTGAGCAGTCCAACTCATTGGTTGTACACCACTGGCGCATAAAATTAGGTTGGAACAATAATTGCTACCCTTTGCCTCTGCCTACAAAATTCCTGTCAAGGAAAAAGAATTACTCAACCTGATGTTAGTTTTCTGAAGATGTGTATACCGAACTGTGTCTGCCCTCCTGAAATTGTTTTGGCAATCTTCTATAGAATTCACACTTTTAAGTACACTATTTTAATAGTTTAAGGAATCCTGGGCAGGTGTAATCCTTTAATCCTAGCACTTTGGGATGCCAAGGTGGGAGGGTCACTTGAGACCAGGCATTCAAGACCAGCCTGAGCAACATAGCAAGACGCCACCTCTACAAAGGATAGAAAAGTTAGCCAGGCATAGTGGCGTGCACCTGTAGTCCTAGCTAGTTGGAAGGTTGAGGCAGGAGGATCCACTTGAGCCTAGGAGTTTGAGGTTGCAGTGAGCTGTGATGACACAACTGCACTTTGTACACTCTGGCCCAAGCAACAGAGTAAGACTATGTCTCAAAGCAAATAAAGACTTCCTTTTGGACAGAATCACTGAGACTTTGTCTAGTAACATAAAGAACTGTTCAGATAGGATAGATGAGACAGTGTAATAGAATATAGGCTATGATAACAAGGACAATGTTTTGGTCACCCATTGTATCTTCAAGCTCTAGAACAGTGCATTCAGTATTTGTTAATGAGTGAATTAATATTTACTAATTTAGGGCCACGTTAATGACTATTTTGCTAACGAAAAGAAAAATATGGGCCGGGCGCGGTGGCTCACGCCTGTAATCCTAGCACTCTGGAAGGCCAAGGTGGGCGGATCGTTCTGAGCTCAGGAGTTCGAGACCAGCCTGAGCAAGAGCGAGACCCCCGTCTCTACCAAAAAATGGAAAGAAATTAACTGGACAGCTAAAAATATATGTAGAAAAAATTAGCCAGGCATGGTGGCACATGCCTGTAGTCCCAGCTACTTGGGAGGCTGAGACAGTAGGATTGCTTGAGCCCAGGAGTTTGAGGTTGCTGTGAGCTAGGCTGACGCCACAGCACTCGCCCCAGGCAAGAGAGTGAGACTCTGTCTCAAAAAAAAATAAAAAGAAAAATATGTTTAAATAGAAATTTCATTAATCTTTTAATCCAGTCTACCTATGAAGAAAAAATTTTATAGTTGAATTTCTGTTTATATATATTACATTTAAATTATAGTGAGAAAGTCACAAGGCCTCCTTAAGCTAATATCTATTAAAATAATTTCGATTCATAACAGAATAGCCCTCACTGATTAATTTTTGCCATGCCCTTTTGAAGAATATTAGCTCACATTCACAGTTCAGGCAATCACAGAATGTAGTCCTCAGAATAGCAGCATTAGCATTACTTGGGAACTTGTTAGAAATAGAAATTCTGTGGCCCTACTACAGGTCTACTGAACCAGAGGCAATCAAAGACTTTGGATAGGATCCTGCAATCTGTTTTAACAAAAGCTCTCCAGGTAATCTGATGCTTGCTGAAGTTTGAGAACCATGGCCACCATTGCTAGTTATAAAATCACTACCTTTTATGAAAGTTCTTTTTTTTTTTTTGAGCCAGAGTCTTGCTCTGTTGCCCGGGCTAGAGTGCTGTGGTGTCAGCCTAGCTCACAGCAACCTCAAATTCCTGGGCTCAAGTGATCCTTCTGCCTCAGCCTCCCAGAGTGCTAGGATTACAGGCGTGAGCCACTGTGCCTAGCCAGAAGTTCTTTTAAGTACTGTAAGAGAGTGACAGAATCCATTTGGGATGATAGAGCTGAGTTTTTCAAACTTACATGTTAAGAATAATCTGACGTATTTGTAAATATACAAATTACCAGAACTTTTCCCTGAAAATTATGATTCATTAAGTCTGTATTGGTTCAGAAACTTGTTTTTTAACAGGTGTTCCAGATTATTCTTATCTTTAAGGAAGTTCAAGAAACACTATGAGAGAGGATGCTGTTTCTAGCCAACTTTTTCAAAGCTGTGGGAATTGAAAATTTCACATCCTGCTTCTGGAACCTAAGTACAGAGATTCCCATAGTCTTTTTTGTGAGTGCTGCTGAAGGAAAAGCTGGGATAACTCTTTGTTTTTCTGGTAAACCTTCAGTGTTTTGATAGCAAAAAGATAATCATCTCCCTTCCTGATAGAAGATTATATCAGTGTTTCCTGAGGCAAAACCAAAAGTAGAAGACTTGTGCAGTACAGTACTAAGACCTGTTGTATCTTGTTTTTTACCTCAACACTTGTGATTTAAATAGAGAAAATGTTTATCTCCTCATTGACATTTTATTTAGTCAGGATCATAAGACAAAACTATATGCATTTCATTTTCTTATCCCCATGATAGAATCATGAACCTAGAGCATAGCTCAAAGAAGTATAACATTTGGATTTTATTTAAACATTCTCCTTTTAACTATTACATAAAGGAGTTACTGTTACACTTTTGTACTATAATGATTTTAGGTAATATTAATGAGAAAACATAGCTGGGCACAGTGGTTCATGCCTGTAATCCTAGCACTCTGGGAGGCTGAGGCTGGAATATTGTTTGAGGCCAGGAGTTCGAGACCAGCCTGAGCAACAGCAAGACCCAGTCTCTACAAAAAAACAGAAAAATTAGCCAGGCATTGTGACTCGAGCCTGTAGTCCCAGCTACTCAGGAGGCTGAGCAGGAGAATCACTTGAGCCCAGGAGTTTGAGGTTGCAGTGAGCTATGATAATGCCACTGCATTCTAGCCTGGGTAACAAAGTGAGACCCTGTCTCAAAAATAAATAAATAAAAGAATAGATTTGATTTATCCTGATGGCTTGCCAGGTAGATCTACTCCAAAGTAGTTGCTCCTGTCATCTCTGTATATATATTTTGCCTGAACCTCCTAATAGAAAGGAATTATATTCTTTGGCCCTGAAACCACTGCCAATACCACATCTTACCTATCCAGCCAGATAATTTAAGTGTTAGAGATGAAGTTCTCATCTGCCTGAGTTCTGTGTACAGCCCACAAATGTTCTCTCCTCTCTTCTAGATATGGGCTCTCTGGCAGTGATGTCCTGGATAATGTAGCATATGCTCGAGGGTTCAACACAGACCACCAGACCCAGCTCCTTTATCAAGCGTCAGCCATGATGGTGGAATCTAGGTATGTGCTCAGTACAAGACACTAAATATGTTGCTAGAGACCTTACCCTGAATCTTTTTTTTTTTTTTTTTTTTTGAGACAGAGTCTCGCTCTGTTGCCCGGGCTAGAGTGCCGTGGCGTCAGCCTAGCTCAGAGCAACCTCAAAGTCCTGGGCTCAAGCAATCTTCCTGCCTCAGCCTCCCAGGTAGCTGGGACTACAGGCACGCGCCACCATGCCCAGCTAATTTTTTTCTATTTTTAGTTGTTTGGCCAATTTCTTTCTATTTTTAGTAGAAATGGGGTCTCGCTCTTGCTCAGGCTGGTCTTGAACTCCTGAGCTCAAACAATCCACCCACCTCGGCCTCCCAGAGTGCTAAAATTACAGGCGTGAGCCACCGCGCCCGGCCCTTACCCTGAATCTTGTAAAGGTTGTTTGGCCAAACTGATAGTAGCTTGAGTTAGAAATGGGGAGATTTAAGTCTAATTCCTATTTTGACACTCTTACTTTGTGATTTGGTCAAGTCACTATTAAAAAATGAAGCCATGATCTTGAACTTGCTGGAAATCTTAATTTGTTTAACAGCGTCTCAGATGTGAATGCTGTACAATTATTTTAATAAAACCTCTACATACAAGTGACACTATGAATTTGAGATTTTAGGATGGTGAGGAAGGGAGCAGACTCTGACATAGGCTAGACATAGGCTTCAAACAATCCTTGTTCTGTGTAGGTATGCACTGCTTATTGTAGACAGTGCCACCGCCCTCTACAGAACAGACTATTCCGGTCGAGGTGAGCTCTCAGCCAGACAGATGCACTTGGCCAGGTTTCTGCGGATGCTTCTGCGACTTGCTGATGAGGTAAGTTGTGGGGTAGAGACAGAGATTGCCTACTTTCAGTGACTATGAATTCCAGGAGCCTTGCTAGGAGACCAGAACATCAGTGCCTGGTATCATCAAGCTTGTCAGTTAGAAAGGAAGGAGGAAGAGAGACATTAGTTATTCATTGCTTTGTGGAAGAAAGTGGTGGCAGCGTTACGGCTCTTGGAATGCCTGTGGCACAAAACTGACATTGATCCTTTCCCCATCAGTTTGGTGTAGCAGTGGTAATCACCAACCAGGTGGTAGCCCAAGTGGATGGAGCAGCCATGTTTGCTGCAGATCCAAAAAAACCTATTGGAGGAAACATCATTGCCCATGCGTCAACAACCAGGTAAAGTGATGGGATAGATGCTTCTTTTTGGAATGTCATATTAATTGTGAAATAGACATGAAGATATAACATTTCCAATTAAGCCCTGTTAAAGCTACTGTTACATAATTAGATACTTAGGAATTCTTGCTAAATCTAATTGTCATGCTCTGATCAGGATAGATATTTGCTTTTAGTTCATAAAGGAATTAAAAACTCACAAGTATGGAAGAATAAATATGAATAATTGATATGCCTCACCCTGGTTATTAAAAGAAAATGTTTGTTTCAATGTAGACAACCTATTCAGAAAGGGGGCAGGGCAGAAATGGACTCCTCCAGATTGGAAGTATACTAAGGAATACAGTACAGAAATATCCCCAGGGTCCTTTTGGGAAGCATTATGTCTGAAAAATGATTAGCTCTATCATAAATAAAGTCAGGAATGGAATCGTTTAGTTATAACTGGGTGCTTTGGTCTGTGTCTCTGGGTCAGACTGTACCTGAGAAAAGGAAGAGGGGAAACCAGAATCTGCAAAATCTACGACTCTCCTTGTCTTCCTGAAGCTGAAGCTATGTTTGCCATAAATGCAGATGGAGTGGGAGATGCCAAAGACTGAATCACTGGTTTTTTTCCCAGTGATAAACCTTAAACGCTGCAGTCTAATGAAGAGGACTACCTGCTGGAGTTCTATATAGGCCTCTTCCTGTTGTGACTGCCAGGAAGAGGCTTCCAGGAAAACCAACTATTGTATCAGCTTTTCTGATGGTGTAAACAGTAGTCACAAACTGATCTGAAATGTTTATTCCTTCTGGAGTGCATTAATCTCTATATGATTTCTCTATAGTTTTGGAGGAGAGGTATGAAATACCTTTGATATAGTGCCTTGGGATTGACTCAGGTCTAACAGCTGTCTATTGGACAATTTTATGTCCCCAAGAGAACTAAAGCTTGGGAGACCTGACCCTTCTCTCACTTCTGAATGATGGTAAAATAAAATGCCTGTGCTATGTATGTAGCAAAAGGAATGGGTCTCTGCATAGGTTCTTTTTCTCTGTCAGTACAACTCCCATCAATCAGAAGTAGGTTTTTAAGTTGTATGCTTGAACACTCTTATGTAAGAATTTGTTTTTGGTTAAAGAGTCTTGCTCAAGGCCTGCTAATCCATCAGCCCTTCACCATTTACTTGCTTGGTCTTTTACTGCTAACACTAACTCAAGATAATGCTGGAATCTTAAGTATTTCAGAGGCTGAGTAAGCAGATTGATTGTTAGGCTGCTAATAAAGTAGTTATTTGTAATGAATGTGTTGTTTATAGTAGTTACTCTAGTGCAAACTGAATATTTCAAGATAGGGTCTCCATGATATCTTTTTGGCACTGGGTAGGGGTGATCAGTTTCTATTGCTTTTTAAGGTTTGAAAACTGAAAGGGTAGTCCTACATTGAGATGATTGAGCTTATTTGTCCTTCAACTTAATGGAAAATGTTATAAGATACAGCATGGCTTTCCTGTGGTCTTTGTTTTTATTCCATAAGTCTCATGTTGTGGAGTTCTGATACTTGCCTGCATTATTTTACTTCAGCGGTTTAAAATATTTCTCTTCCTTTCAAACTTCTACTCGAGATAAAGTTTTAACCAGCTCTCCAAATTTCAAAGGACCTCTCACTTAGTATTTATTGGGAAAAGGCAGTGAACGTCTCTCTTGCTGCCTTTGTTGGTCCCACTGTATGTAGGGAGATAGGAAGACTCAAGTCAATTTAATGCAGCTTTTGTTTTTTTTGAGATAGGGTCTCACTCTGTCTGCCAGGCTAGAGTGCAGTGGCATCATCATGGCTCACTGCAACCTCGAACTCCTGGGCTCAAGCGATCCTCCTGCCTCAGCCTCCCCAGTAGCTAGGACTACAGGCCTGCAATACCACACCAGGCTAATTTTTCTCTTTTTTGTAGAGATAGGATCTAGCCCTTGCTCAGGCTGGTCTGGAACTCCTGAGCTCAAGCAATCCTCCCGCCTCGGCCTCCCAAAGTGCTAGGATTATAGGCGTGAGCCACTGCACCCAGCTGACAAACAACCTTTAAAACCTTTTATTCACACCTTAATCTTTTGGTGGCAGGTCCCTCACCTGAGCTGGCTAGGAAAAAAAAAACTGCTACAGCCTTGCTCGAAAACCCTCTCAGCAGCCACTGTGCAGGATGCCCTCCAGAGGGAGCTTCCTAAAGGTATCAGGGAAGGGAGGGATGGATGGCAGCCAAAAATACCAGAGCAACCTTGTTTTTCCCAAGGACGTTATTGGGACTCTTAAGGGGAGGAGGCAATTTGTGTTTGCCTGTTCTGTGGGAAAATCAGAATCACCTGCAATTAATCAAAAATATAGATTCCCAGGCCCACTGAATCTGGGTTTTAGATAACAAAATGTTTTATCCCCAGAATTGAGTTTAGGTGGTCCCCTCTTTGTTTTCATATGACAAAATAAGCCTGGGATGGTATAAAGCCACAGTGACAGATACGGGAGTAAAAGGTTAGTTCTTATGTAATAGTGTCCCAATCTTATGGTCCTATAAGGTATTTAAGAGACTTTGACCTAGAAACTCAGTTTTTCTTTTAGGTGGAATTATGGTTTGTGCTGTTGGCCTTGCTTAGTTGCAATAAAAATAAGCCCTTACTAAAAATCTCTGCCTATATTTTACATGTAACTAAAATTTCCACAGGAAAGAACATTAACCAAAGAGCTTATTCTAAACTAAGTATTTGGTGACCTGTTTTTCTACCTGTCTGCAATAGCCTCTGTAGGAGGAAACAAGTATGGAGGTATTGAGCAAGAATAAAGAGCTGATAACTGAAATAGAGAAAGGAGAATATAATCACTTCCAATCAAATTTGGTTTATTTCAAGTTTGTACCAAAATATACTCCAGGCAGCTCTTCAGATCATTGTTTTACAGGTTCATAAACCCTATGCCACTGGTGTCATTTCAAGAGCTTCCAGGACATGAAATCAAATGGTCCAGTCCAGAAATACAGGTAGAATCCACATGATAGGTGATAAGGCAGCAATATCCGTTCGCTGCTCTGACCTCTCCTTTTACCTGGTAAGTAGTGATCTTAGGACTGTGTATATGTAGGTGTTGAGTATTAGTGAAAATATTAGAGCGTGACAAGTTCTGTGCTTTGTTCCTGTAACTTTTTGAAGTCCATCCACTTCACCAGCACAGTGCTGCTACTTCATCCTCTCAGCTCTAGCAGCCTTCAGAGCTCTGCCATTCTTAGCCCCAGGGCAGGTGCTAGACTGTCTTGATTTTTCAAAAATTCACTTAAGGGGGAGAGCAGGCCACAAATACTTCCCCAATTTTAGATTAGGTAAGAGATTAGAATAAATTAACTGATTGACAAAAGACAAGAAGTTGGGGAATCCTAAACCAGATGATCTTAGTAGAGTCTAAGGAAGAAAGCCTTGATTTTTTTTTTTCCCCCCCTTTAAGTAGTGGTATCACTCCAGTGATGAAGGCCATCGAAATCTGATTATTCTCCTAAAATCACTTCCAATTCTTCCAGCTCCTTCTGGAAAGCTGAATCCTAGGGAGAGAAAGAGAACAAATCCAGGACTCAAAATTTTTTCCAAACCCACTGGAGCTGGAGAAGAGGGGCCCTTTGCTTTCTTCCTGAGCTGTTATAGTCTCTCTCCTTTCACAGAATAGCTTGGAGCCTTTACCCTATCCTAGAAGGGCATCTGTGCAAAGGGGTAGACTCTTTCCTAAAAAGGTCACATGATGACTCAGTAATGGAACCCAGTATTAGAAAGCTCTTATAAAAGTATTACCTCCTTAGTGACATCTGGCAGTTCCAGGGCCAACTTCATCCACCTTCTAGCTTCAGAGTTATTCTCTAGTTCTCTGTAGCACTGAGAAGAGACAACAGTGAAAACCTGGGAGAAATATCAGAAACTAGAAGGGGGTGAGTTAGGTATGCTTTCAGGACTTCCAGAAATACTGTCAACATAAACATGTTCATTTTTAAGTAGACAGGTGAGTTGAGGTTACCTTGGAAATATATACCCTTCCTGCTTTGGAAAATCCTGGCTGTAGTTCTTCGGCCTAGAGAAGAAAAGAAGATATTTCAGTAAGAAGTTTCCAAATTCAAGTTGGGCTGAAGTTTATTAAGTAGAGATTTCCAGTCCCCACCCTGGTGACTGATTCAGTGGGTCTGGGAATAAGTTCTGCAGGTGATTCTGATTTTCCCACAGAACAGGCAAGCACAAATTGCCTCCTCCCCTTAGGAGTCCCAATAACGTCCTCAGGAAAAACAAGGTTGCTCTGGTATTTTTGGCTGCCATCCATCCCTCCCTTCCCTGATACCTTTAGGAAGCTCTGGAGGGCATCCTGCACAGTGGCGCTGAGAGGGTTTTCAAGCAAGGCTGTAGCAGTTTTTTTTTCTAGCCAGCTCAGGTGAGACACCTGCCACCAAAAGATCAAAAGGTTTTAAAGGTTATCTTTAGGAACACTGAATATTCTGTACTGAAAATAAACAGAGTCAAACAGGGCTGGGTCCAACTAACAAAGTGAGTATTCAAAGGAAATGGCAACTAAGACAGAGCAGGCTAAGGACCCTGTTCTTCCTGCAAGAACATCAGTGTCATAGGACAAAGTCTTGGAATACAGCTCACCTGGTAGCACCACCTGCCAAGAAGAAAGTGAGCCATGGGGTTTTCTGGCTGGAGAGCAATGGCTTTGTCCACATGCTCCTAAGGGGAAAATGTAAATATAAACTAATGTCAGACATGAGAGTTGCTAAAGGGAAGAGAGGCAAGAAGGCCTCTTCAAAGCAAGCTGGAAAGGAGCAGGAAATCTGGAATAGGCCAGCGTGAGGGAAGGAGGAACCCATCCTCACCTTGAAGCTAAAGCCACTCTGGATGCGCCTCTGGATGCTCTCATGCTCAGCCAGCTGACCACAAAGCACTGCGTACCTAAGGGGGAAGCAGCAGCAAGCTCAGGGCCAAGGGCCAAGTACCATCACGGCAAGGAATGGACGTCTAACCCACAGGCTAGTTGCACTGTCCCCTGCCCCTCCACCCTCAACTAGAGCTGAAAATAAAGTTTTCATCTGTGTGTAATTCCCACTCTCCACTGACCTGTGGCCCCAATTAGTATTCTTTAACACACACAGTGGTAGGCTTACAATTCCCCAATGTGATCTAGGTACAAAAAGGCTGGGTTCTTCACAACAACTCTCCCTTACACTTAATATTTAGGCAAGGTCTCAGTCCAAATCTCCAAATTTCCCCTTTCTCATGAACAATATAGCCACAGGTGTCATAAAAACTTGAAAAGCATCAAATAATAATCAGCATCAAAGTATGAGAGACCTTAGTACATTGCTTTTTGTCTCCTAAGTAGACACTAAGAGGGACTTAGTGACCTTGGAAGTATACAGATACATCATTGGAACTTGGGAAGCAATGTCTTAGTACGGTCAAATTGGAAGGGGATACTCTAGGAATTTCTAATGATAACTTTGGAACCAACAGAACCAGAGGAAGAAAGACCTTCCCCTCTACATCCTCGCCATCCCCAAGCCCAACAAACCACCCAGCTTTCCATCTTCTGTCTTCAAAAACAAGGTCTTACTTACCCCGCCCCCCCAGCACCGTTCCTAGAAGTACAGTTGACATTAGGTGAGTGTCTAACCAGGCACAAGTTGCTTTTTCAGGTATTTGCTAAATATCTGGGGTATATTTGTATCAGATACTTGCAGAGGCTCATTTCCGTGTTTAATCCAAACAGCTGTTCCTCAGGAATAGCCAAGAAAATGTGAGGCCAATCTCCATCTCTGGGAGCCCAGGGAAGCAGTGACCCCCAAGAAAGGGTTACTACAAAGTTTTAGCACCAGATGGAAAAACACAGCCTCTCACATAGCTCACAATCCGCGGGTGGAGATATGGAAGGAACATTTTCACTAAAACTAAGATGCTGGAACCAGGCCCCCAGGGCATGAGTTGGCCCTGACCCATGCAAGTTGGCAGAAATTTACCTCACATGAGACCACAAAAGGGCCTGATAGTTTTTCTTATAAGCCAATAAATTGACCACTGAACTCCGTGGGGGTGAGCTCACGTCCACTTTTCCTCATGCGAACCAAGCAAAGAAGCCAAAGCCCACCACCAAGCCAGAGATCGCAGCTAGGGAAAAGAAGAGCTGATACAAGACAGGAGAGCTGCAAATTGTCCCAGCATCCCTGAGGAACCAAGAATTCACAAGTTTTGTAGCTGGGATGACTCTTACAAAGCTACTCATCTCTCCAAGCCCCGTCAGAAAAAAGCTTGTACTCCCCCTTGCTCACACCCAAGGCACCTCCCAAAGAAAACTTGGTCAACTGGCTGGGGGCAGAGTAAGGCCTGTGGAAATACAAGCCTGAGCTCCCTCTCCTGGTTCCTTTGGCAAATGCCTCTGTGGCCAGAGCAGAGCAAAGGGCTTTCCTCTACTCTGGTCCTTGCTGGCTCTTCCCAGAACCCTGCAGCGTGTTATTACCACTGGTGACATTCAGCACTCTCGTCCCCCTTCTCCAGAGCAGCCTCTGCTTCTTCTTTTCCTGTAAGACAAAGGTAGATCCAGAGTCGATGTGGGCTCCTATGCACAACTGCACCGGAAGAGCTGTGGGAAGAATGACTGCTTTACCTCTCACCAATCCCTGCCCAACTTGACTTGTTTGGGAATAGTTGTGAACTGTAACAGAATGAAAGGCCACAGACAGCTTCTAAGGGATGACTTCTGCTTCACCTCAGGTTCCCCATCTGTGTCATCAGCAGCCCCAGGTAGCTTCTTTTTATAACACCCACCTGATGTGCTGGAAGCCAATTTTAACATTTTAAATATAAAAGGACCGGACAACGATCAGAAACTCACCAATGGACCTTATTTTGGAGGGTTTTTGATCTGAGGTCTATAGAGAGGCTTCAGGATGTCCATGAATCTCAAATTGTGTAAAATTTTAGGTATATGTGCATTTAACTGGAGAGAGGGTTTATAGCTTTGACAAAGTTCTCAGGAAGGATCAATGATCCAAGAATGTTAATCACAGCTCTAGGCCAAAACTCCTTCCCAAGAGCCAAATGGACTGAGGTCTGACCAGAGGTGACTTTTGCTTAGTCTTACCCAAGTTTTCTTAGTCTTCCAATGAAGAAATCAAAGCCCAAACACAGGAAAGTTCTGACAAAGGTCGTCCCTTAGAATATCAAGGAGGCTGGAACCTACAGACTATAAGATGAGGACCATAATGCCTGTGCACTGGAGAAAAGAATACACGGCAAAATGGGACTTCTTTGATTAAAATGGAGAGAGCTTGGGAGGGAACAGGGAGAAAACGGAACAAATAAAATGTTTTAAGGTGGTAGGCTGGCTAATCCAAAGTGCCTCATTTGAGTGATAATTATGGTATAAGGTTTACATGACAAATGCATTTTTAAGTCAACTGGTGCTGTGAAGGACTCCACATCCCCCTTTCCCAGCAGAAGGACCATATGGCCCCGCCAATATGGGACCCTGCCACTTAGGGCACTTCTTTCTGCCCCCTTCAAAGCACTGTCTCATTAGGAAAGTAACAGCAAAGTATGAGACAACCAGTTCCTGCCAAGCTTGACGGACAGCGGGGTAGATTAAGATATTGCCTGAGATCCCGAAGAATGCCTGCCTCCGGTTTTTAGAGATAGACAAAATGAACTTTAGACCCAGCAAGGATGGCTTTTTTGGTTGGTTGGTTGGTTTTGAGACAGGGTCTCACTCTGTCTCCCAGGCTAGAGTGCAGTGGCATCATCGCAGCTCACTGCAACTTCAAACTCCTGGGCTCAAGCAATCTTCCTGCTTCAGCCTCCCAAGTAGCTGGGACAGACTATAGGCACACCACCACGCCCAGCTAATTTTTCTATTTTTTTGTAGAGATGGGGTCTCACTCTTGCTCAGGCTGGTCTTAAACTCCTGGCCTCCCAGAGTGGTGGGATTACAGGTGTGAGCCACTGCATCCGGCCCAAGGATAGTTCTTAAAGGCTACAATCCCAGAGCAGGATTTTCAAAGACACTCCAAAGTCATCTGACCTCCAGCAGGTCAGATGTGCTAAGGGGTGCTAAGCTCAGGAAGCCAGACCAAACAGTCACTGACTGTGGCTGCTCCTCTAACCACTGCCCCTACCTCTACCTTCAGGGTTCATGTCGCAAGCACTAATAAGAGATGATCAATGATCAGAAAGGAAAGGAAAGGTTGTGGACACTAAGGGTCCAAAAATCAGCCCCAAAGTTGATCAGAATCCTCACCTGAAATTTAGGAGGAAAAGCAGAATTTTTTGAGACAAGGGTCTCAAAAGAGTCTGTGTTGCCCAAGCTGGTCTTAAACTCTTGGCCACAAGTGATCCTCCCAGCTCAGCCTCCCAAAGTGCTGGCATTACAGGAGTGAGCCACTGCTCCTGGCCTGAATCCACTTTAGATAATTTACTGAACCACAGACCTGGAAGCCCATTGAAGGTGCCCGACTCAGTGTGTGGCTAGGCAGGACACATCAGTCTCTTTTTAAAGTCCTAGAGGATTCTCTGATCTCAAGACAGACAAGGCCAAACCCTGAGCCTGACACAGGTCAGGTGCACCCTATCCTCCAGGGTAGACTTTGCCAACAGACTTGCCAAGCAGATCCCAGGGACTTCCAAGCTAGCAGTAATCTCCCAAACTGCTTCTCCTAAGTGCTCATCACACATGCTTCACTCACTGTGTTCTCAGAACACCTGCCCCACAGGCTCTGTAACTGAAACCAGATTCCTAAGCAGCCGCAAAAAACCTCAGTTTAAGGGGCTTTAGCTCCCTCTTTGTGGCTGGGGAACAAAAACAAAGCATGACACTAATGTGATACAACTACTTCTAAAAACGTATGCATCCCAGCCTCAGTTGTTTAAAACAAAAACCAAAATAAAAACATGTACTTGTGTTAATCACCATGGTGTACACATGAGCAAAGACTGTGCTGTCTTCCTCGAGAGGTGGAAGCAAAGGTCCTCGGGAGCCAGAGGCTGTCCCTAGTGAGTAGCTGAGCCACAAGTGCCCTGACAGCCAGCATCTTGGTGGCTTTCCCAGGCAGATGGGCCAGCTTTGCCCCCAGAATCAAAGTATGAGAATCAGTCGGTCACCTTCCTACCAGGAACTGTCAGCACTTACCATTTAGGGCATATGACTTCTTCTCGCTCACCTCCTCAGTGAGCTCACACATGTCACTGTAAGCCCGGGCCAGGCGCCAGAGAAAGTCTTGCCGGCTTCCATACTGCAGACCAAACAGAAAGGGGTAAGGCCTCTTTTCCCTCAGCCATGGAGAACAGGGGCCCTGGCCTTCCCCCGCAGTTACAGTTGTTGACACTGGGCCAGCGCCTTTGCACAGCTTTCCCTTGCCCACCACTTCCCACGTGCAGTTAACTGATGACACGTTATCTCTAGCCAATAGCTTGCACAATCAATCACAGCGTGAGGGCATTCTGGCCTAATACTGCCAGAAGGAAAAGTCAACTTCAAGATGTCATGAGGCACAGCAAGAAGGGTCTGCTGACACATGAAAAAATGTGATATTGCCCAAGGGAAAATCCTAACTTTTGAGGGGGCACTTTTACCTGGATGAACATAAATTTTGTCAGTGAACCTGAGAAGGGAAATGTGGTTGAGTGAGCTACACAGTCGTCACTTGTGATGGAAACTTCAAGTGAGACAGGCAGCTTTGGTTCTGCCTCAAGGGAAACAAAAAAGAAAAAAAAACCCATTCCAGTTCTTTGCACATTTCCCCCTACAAGTGAGAGGTGGAGCTCTTTCTGCAGTATCTCTAGAAGAGGCAGACTGCGCTCCTCCACCCCAGAGGGGAAGCGGCTCTGGGGCAAGGAGTACACTGCTCCCAGGATCCATGCTGGGCATCCTTGGAAGAGGATATGCAACCTGCAGGCTACATGCACAACCAGCCATCTCACCCCCATTTCCCTTCCCATGTCACTGTGCATGGTCAGCAACCACATGGACCTTCCTTCATTCCCTAGGGGTCAGGAGCTGAGCGGGGGAGGGAGGGAAGCAGGCAGGCAGCTGGAGGCTCACCGCCAGCTTGTTGTTGAGCAGCAGCTGGAAGCCCTCCCGTTTGCCCTGCTCGTCACGCTGGTGCAGCTCGTCCGCCTGCTGCAGGAGGGGCAGCACATCCTCCAGGCCCAAGGAACCTCCAGCCTCCAGAGCACTGGGCACCAGACCCGATGCTGCCTCCACCTCCACTTCCAGGTCCAGAGAATCCTTTCTCCCCATCTTCACGGTCTCGCAGCTCACTTCATCTTCCGCGTCCTCACTCTCCTTGTCGGAGTCCCGCTCATAGTCAGACTCGGCATTGGCTGTCATATAACTGGCAGAGAAATGTAAGTGACAGGGTCAAGGGAGGGGATTATTCAGCTCCAAGCCTCAAGGGCCTATCCCCTAGCCCCAAAGAGGGATTCTATGTGGCACTGTCCTTCGAAGTACCAAATAACAATCATTTCTACAACTTAAGGACAAAAATTAGTCTTCAATGGAAAGCTTCCCACGGGAACTCTGGGTTGGGAAGTGATCCAGGAGGGAAAAAGCAGTCAACCAGCTGGAGCCCTGTGGCAGCCAGGGCCAATATGAGAACCCCCTAGCCACCACCAAATCTACCAGAAAAAAAGAAAAAGCTGAGAAAGATATGTACAAAACGTTGCCAGTAGATCTCTTAGGGCAGATGAATTAAGGGTAATTTTTCTTCTAAATTTTAATAGTATATGAGTGCTTTAGTAAGCATATATTCTTTTTATAAGTAAAAATGTTTAAGATAAAAACGTTACTAGGGTACGGATTTGTCAACTGCTGTTTTATCAGCCAAAGACACCTTGCCAGAACCAACATGCATGAATGCCAGCCTCTGGGGCCATGGGCAGCCACACATACACACATTTTCTTTCTCACACTTGTGTCTCTGACCCCAGTCAATAACCAAACCTAAACCACAACAGGAGTAGCCCTTGGGAACCTTGAGAGTGTGGAGGGAGGTAGTATGAGCACTTTGCAGCTGGAAGCAGGAGAGGAAGAAAATGCAGACAGACCCCTTGGGAAGGTATTTCTGAGAGGAAGCCGAGTTTCTCTCGGATCTTGTCTGCAATCAGTGTACCTTCTCTAACTGCCAACTGAATCATACAATAACTGAGCAAGGGAGAAGGTAGGACTTCCAGCAGCCAGGAGCAGACACCAGAAATCTCTCTAGACTGAGGGAGGGAAAAGCAGGGTCTATCAGAGCCAGAAGGTCCTGAAACATAGGGAATAGCTTAGGATCATTTCCTCTATCCTGAAATAAAAGATAAGGGCAGGTGCCCTACAGCAGAAGCAAAACAGAACCAAAGGAGAGATGAGGGAGACACCTACAAAAAAGTCAACACAAGAGAGCCTAAAGTTGGGGTGAATGTCATAGGCAGAAGTGCTGTCTTCCTCATCCAGAAAACCAGAGACAACAAGGGGACAGGCTCTGGCAGGTACCAAGTGAGCACCCAGACTTGGGGCCCAATCCATGCTGATTGCATCCTTATAGAGGACCTTCAAGTCACATCTAAAAAAGGGATCCCAGGAACATCTACTACAGGAAGCTATTGTCAGGTATTTAAAAGCTTCCTGGCTGGGCATGATGGCTCATGCATGTAATCCCAGCACTACGGGAGGCCTAGGTAGGAGGGCTGCTTGAGGCTAGGAGTTTGAGACCAACCTGAGCAACATAATGAGACCTATCTACAAAACAAATCAGCTGGGTACAGTGGTGCACGCATGCCTGTAGTCCCAGCTACTCATGAGGCTGAGGCAGGCGGATCACCTGAGCCCAAGAGTATGACGCTACAGTAAGCTATGATTGCACCACTGCACTCCAGGCTCCAGAGCGAGAGCCTGTCTCAGGGGGGCGGGGAAAAAAAACAACTTCCTAACCTCACCTTGTTTTTTTGTTTTGTTTTTTGGAGACAGGGTCTTGCTCTGTTGCCTGGGCTCAGAGCATAAGAGCAATGGCATCACTGTAGCTCACAGCAACCTTAAACTCCAGAGCTCAAGCAATCCTCCTGCTTCAGCCTCCCGAGTAGCTGGGACTGCAGGTGCATGGCACCAGCCAATTTTTCTCTTTTTTGTAGAGATGGTGTCTGGCTATGTTGCTCAGACTGGTCTTGAACTCCTCACCTCAAGCGATCCTCCTGCCTCGGCCTCCCAAAGTACTAGAATTACAGGCGTGAGCCTCTGCACTGGGCCTCACCTTGGTTTTTTTTTTTTTTTTTTTTTTTTGAGTCTCACTGTTGCCCAAGCTAGAGTGCCGTGGTGTCATCCTAGCTCACAGCAACCTCAAACTCCTGGGCTCAAGCAATCCTCCTGCCTCAGCCTCCCGAGTAGCTGGGACTACAGCCATGCGCCACCATGCCCGGCTAATTTTTTCTATATATTTTTAGTTGTCCGATTAATTTCTTTCTAATTTTAGTAGAGACGGGGTCTCGCTCTTGCTCAGGCTGGTTTCGAACTCCTGAGCTCAAACAATCCGCCCGCCTCGGCCTCCCAGAGAGCTAGGATTACAGGCGTGAGCCACTGCGCCCGGCCCTCACCTTGTTTTTTAAGAGGTTATCCATGCATCTTCCCCTTTTGCAATTTGCATTAAAAACTAGAAATTAAGGGGACAAAGAAAAGTCACATCAGATTTCACAACCAAATTGGGTAGTGATGAGCAAGACCACAGAACGACCTAAAGAAACTCCCAAGTGAATCTGTCCCAAATGAGAAAATCAAACCAGAGTTTACTCTGCCCCGCCAGGCCCAAAGGCAAAATGGGTAAATGGTTTATCTAGAGTGGAAAGCTTGAGTCTCCTCATCTCCCTCTGCTAGAAGAGAGGGAGACCCTATTTGCTGCTGGGTTGAGCGCTGCCCCAGCCAATGAGTTCCAAACAAGAGTCTCTGTGCCTTCGGCACTCCCAGGGAGGGACCACTGCTCTTTTCCCTCCTAGAGCACTGGCATCAGCATGGTCTCTCCCGAGCCCTGAGCCAGGAGGGGAGTCCTACAATGCTGCCATTGCTCTGGGTCTAAAGGCTGGAGCTCACAGAGCCAAGGAGATGCAGAGGTCAGGAGGGACCTTGCCACCACCTACAGAGTGAGAGCTGGCAGAGCCCTTTGAGGCAGGGAGGCTCTGGCGAGGCTGGCACAAAGAGGACTTTAATCGTACCTCAGCCTCACTTCAAGGAGCTCTGCCTCACCAGTCTGAAAACCCACTGCCTGGCATGGACTTCCAGGGTCTCAGGAGAGATTAAAATCATGTGCCAGCGCTACTGCATTTACACCATTCTCTCATGCCATTCGCACACCTTCCGCCTCCCAGACTGGCGGCCCAGCCCCTGGAGAAAACCCCCTTCTGTGAGCCTTTTGCAATCTGCCAGGGACAAGTGGGGACCTTTGAAAAGGCCCTTTGGCCCTGTGCACTCAGGAGGAACACACTGTTCCCACAGTGGGCTGGAAACCCCAGGCTCCCTCTGAGCAAGGAGGCCCACCTATCCTACTCTGTTCCTTGAGGAAAGGCCACAGTCAGTAGTCAAGGATGCAGTTACACACACGTCCCCTCTTAAGCTCTGCCTAAGCCCCATTAGAGGGGCTGAGTGTGAGCCATTCAAAGATGACCAGGCATATGGGCTCAGGCCCTAAGAGGCTGTCAGTTGTGGGGGGAGACAAACGCAACCTAAATGAGGTGACAAATGCCTGAGGAGTGAAGAGGAAGATGGTGCGGGCAGTCCCTCCTAGCCAGGCTCCCCGGGAATGCTTGCTGGAGGAGCTAGTGTTTTAAGACAAGCTGGCTTCTGACAAGAACTCAAGCTGTGTTTGGTAGGTGCCCAGGGAACAAGCTCACAGACGGGCACAGTGATTCTGCCTCTGCCACATTCGGTCAATCTCCTGGGAGCTCAAAGTTACTTTATTTAGAAGAAAGTGGGAAGACAGCCTTCAGTGAAACAGAGCAGCCCCTGCCTTGCTGTCCTTGCCCCAAGGCCCACATGTTCAAAGCCATTTCAGAGTTTGTGGACTTCTTCCAGAATTCCCCTTTGACCTATATGGCACTGACTATGGCAAAAAGAATCGTTCACCATGGCCACTGTCCTAGCTGGCAGCCAGCTAAACCACAGAGTGTTGCACCACTACTGGCTTTCACATGCCACAGGATCGGTCATGGGACTAAGCCTGCTGGAGCTATAATTAAGAAAAGCCCAGCTGGGCGTGGTGGCATGTACCTGCAGTCCCAGCTACTCGGGAGGCTGAATCGGGAGGATCAACTGAGCCCAGTTCAAGATTATAGTGAACTATGATGGTGCCACTGCACTCCAGACTGGATGGCAGAGTAAGGCCCTATCTCTAAAAAAAAAAATAAAGAAAAAGAAAAAAAGAAAGCCACCCTTCCCATCCCAGGTGGCTGGCAGCCCTGCCCTGCTCCTGTGACCTTGGGAACCCCGGTGAGCCCCCAAACAGTGAAGGACCCGCAAGCATTCCTGGTTAACCACTCTGGCTCTCACCAACCCCAGAAGTTTGCACAACTTCTTTAAATCATTGTTAAGGGCCTTGAGTTCTACATCCTGATCTTGGGCAGAGCTGTGACCTCTCCTGTACCCCCTTACAAGGTTCAAACATCAATTTCCCACCCAAGAGACTTGCTTCCTTGGGTTGCAGAGATGCTCCTTAAGTCTCAGTGCCCACTATCAACTACTTCATTCCTTTTTTTCTTTTCAATTCAGATGTGTCCAGTATTAATTTCATTTTTGCTCCCTCCTCTAACACAGCCTCTGGAATTGTATCCTGGCCCAGAGCCGTTTAGGCAAATTGAATAGAAAAGGGCAACTTCTGCTAGCCCTCAAGAATACAGATAACAGAATCGGACAACCTAGGCAACGGTAGTTACAAACGGAGGACTAGAGGGTTTCACCAAGACCTCCTTTGTTTCAATAGGCACCTGAAGAGTAATCAAATCCAGCACTCGTGACCAATGGCAGTGACGTGGAATAGGGGAGTGCAGTCATGTGCTACATAACAATGTTTCAGTCAAGGATGGACTGCATATAAAATGGTGATCGCATAAGATTATAATGGAGCTAAAAAATTCCTGTTGCCTAGTATTTAATATACTTTTTGTCATTATTTTAGAGTATACTCCAACTTATTAAAAAAAGTTAACTGTAAAACAGCCTCAGGCAGGTCCTTCAGGAGGTATTCCAGAAGGCATTGTTATCCTAGGAGATGACAGCTCCTATGTGTGTGTGTGTTGAGACAGAGTCTCTCTTTGTTGCCAGGGCATCAGGGCAGTGGCACGATCATAGCTCACTGCAGCCTCAAAGTCCTGGGCTCAAGTGATCCTCCTTCCTCAGTCTCCTGAGTAGCTGGGGCTATAGGCGCACACCATGATGCTCAGGTAATTTTTCTATTTTTGTAGAGATGGTGTCTCACTATGTTGTTCAGGCTGGTCTCGAACTCCTGACCTCAGGCCATCCTCCTGCCTTGGCCTCCTAAAGTGCTAGGATTATAGGCATGAGCCACTATGCCCAGCCTACGTCTTAGTTTTTAAAAAAAAAAGTTTAAAAGGGGAAAAAAAGATTAAAAATAGAAAAAAGCATAGAGAATAAGGATATAAAGGAAATACTTTTGCACAGCTATATAATGCATTATTACAAAAGAGTCAAAAAGTTTTTAAAAATTTTAAGTTTATAAAATAAAAAAGCTACAATAAGCTAACGTTTACTACTGGAGAAAAATATTTTTATGAATTTAGTGTAGCCTGAGTGTACAGCAGTGTACAGGAATGTCCTAGGCCTTCACATTCACTCACCACTCACTCACCGACTCACCCAGAGCAACTTCCAGTCCTGCAAGCTCCATTTGTGGTAAGTGCCTCATATAGGTGTACAATTTTTTATTTTTTGTAGAAACAAGGTCTGTGTTGCCCAGGCTGGCCTCAAACTCCTGGACTCAAGCAATCCTCAGCCTCCCAAGTAGTGCTACCATACCCAGCTTTTTAAAATCTTTTATACTGTACCTTTTGTATGTTTAGATACACAAATACTTACCATTGTTACAACTGCCTACAGTATTCAGTACAGTAACATGCTACACAGGTTAGTAGCCTAGGAGCAACAGGCTAGACCATATAGCCTAGGTATGTAGCAGGCTATCCCACCTAGGTTTGTGTAGTAAGTACACTCTATGATGTTCGCCCAATAACAAAATTATCTAACAACACATTTCTCAGAATGTATTCCTGTTAAGCGACACATGACTATAACGTAATTGTCAATTTTCTTAGAAAACCAAACAAAGAGAAGCAAAAGAACATAATAGCCCAAACAAGTAAACAAGGTTGCAGTTCCTGAGTAAGTGGTGCTGAACAAACTGTACCGCTATGCCTGCGGCCCTCCCAGGGCAGTGAGCTGCGGCAGCTCAAAGGGAAGAATTCCAAAGGGCTACATGCTACGCATCTTCCTGCCAAAGCCCTCACATGCGCTGATGACCAAGCTGTGCCTCAGGTCATAGACCCTCACACCCCTGCAGACGAGCCCAGCTGTCAGGAGAATGGGACTCAGTGTCAGACAGGCTAAGTCTGCACTGGATCACTGTACAACCCTGGTCTGGGCATCAAACCCCACTAAGCTTCAAGTTCTCCACCTGAGAAACAGAAGAGCAGCCTCCGCGTCACAGGGTTAAGTGAGGAAATACCCCTAAAGCGCTTAGTGGTGTACGTCAGAAGGAAAGATTAAATGGTAGGTAGTATTATGAGGTGTTTCAGCTAAAGAGGGACAATCCACAAAGATTAACTCGAATGGCTGATTTTTACTTCTAGTCTCCACGTGCATGTTTATAGCTAATTCCTCTGACCTGGCATACCTTGGCTGTTCACTGCACTAACCTCTTCCCTGAGGAGAAAGAAGGGTTGGACAATGAGCAATCAGCCTTTGTACCTCATGCTGGATAACGAGAGCTAGCAGCAGACAAGGGCAGATACTGCCACTGCCAGCATCAGACTCTGTCCTTGGGACCAAAATTTCAAAGTGGTGCTAGTGATTTAAAATCAAAAAGCACTCAGCCTGACCAAACTTAGAGGCGCTGTCTACCACACTCTTCCTGCTGCCTCGCCTCACAGAAAGCCCTATGGTCAGGACTGCTGGGCCACTAGGAACTCAGTATGGTCACCTCTCACTTGTAAATATGCAAGGGAGCAGGAGCAGGGCTTCCCTGTGGGAAGAGGGTGATTCACAGAGGGGGAGCACACTTCATGCTTAGAGATCTCTGTATACCCAGCTCAGCCACTCAAGGAAAGGAACAAAGTCATGAAATAATGCTTGTAAAGTCCTTGTGATAACACAGGAAAATGCCCAAACTAATAAAAATATATAATAACCACGTAAAAAATAAACTCTCTCAGAAGAAAACAACAGGCAAATAATAACCACTGTTAATTCCATTTGTCAGAATGGCATAAATTGGGGTTTTTTGTTTCAAGTGTTCTGTATTTTATTTATTTATACTTTACCTTGTTCCAAAAATTATTTACAGCAGCTTGAATTTTCCATTGATAAATAATACTTTTACAAAACACAGCCTGGCTGCAGCCACAGCTGCCTCCAGGAGAGACAACTCACCCCCCTTCGCTCTCAGCATCTGTGAACGTGGCTCCCGACGAGGCCGTGAAGTAGACAGAGCTGGAGCCAGTGGAGTCGCTCCTCTCCCGGGCAAACGGGAACCTTCGCCGCCGAGCTACCCGTTGGTTCTCTTCCATGTGGGATCTGGAAAGCAGGCCCCATTCCAGAGGGTACCGTTAGGCTCCATCCAGCCTGGCTCTCCCCTTACTGTGGGAGAGCTTCTTACTACTGCTCCTCATTAAAGGGCCAACAGCAGAGAAAATCCCAGGTCTCTACCCTTAGGAGGTCAACAAGAGCAGCTCCCTGAGCCCAGACTACACGGGCAGAACAAAGTTTCAGCTGCTACAGACCATGGGCCCAGAAGCAGCAAGGAGCTTATACAAGGCCAGGTACCAAACGTACAGCTTCCCCCCAAGTTAGGTTTGAAGCTACACAACTGGTTTCTTTGAGACAGACATCAAAGACCAGAACACACTTCAGCTGAAAAACCTGTAAAGGCAGGGAAAAGTTGAGGGTGGGGGGCAAAGCAGGAGAGAAGCCTGCATTACTCACCGGACCTCCCCAACAATCTCCCCAGCAAGCCCTTGCAGGCTGCTCCTCAGCTCTTCCACTTCCCGCCGCAGTGCCACAAGACTGGTCAGCACAAAGTCCAGGCGGTCCAGCACCTTCTCCTGCCCTTCCTGTGGCAGGCTGGGCAGCACCGCAGCGTCTCCAGCCTCACCTGGGATGGCCCGCAACAGCATCACTGAGGCAAGGGGAACAGGAGACAGTGACACCCACGGGATATGAGGAGGAAAAGATCTCGCACCTAGAATTCAAGAACACTTGCTTCTCAATGGAGTTCAATTTACAGAGAAGACCCTTCAGGCTCAGATAGCATATGTTCACAGCTAAGTCATGGTAACAAGCTCGAAGTAACTATCCAGAAAAATGTTCAAGAATGCAGAGTAAGAAAGATCCCTGGGAATGTGGCCACTTTCTCCCAACCTCAGTAGAAGAAATGCTAAGAAATTACAAATGAACAAAACACAAGAAAAGGGAAGGAGTGACAAGCATACCTGCAATACTAGGTTACCACCAGATTATAAAATGCTGACAATCAGTTGTAATCTAAGGTGATAATTCTTTGAAAACTCTTCCAAAACAAACTTTTCTAAACCGTCTAACATTGGTAATCAGAGAAAACACTCATTTCCAATTAACATGGGGTGAGATAATCTAACCACTCCCCTATCACACAAAGATGAGAGGAGTGGTTTGAATCAGCCCTGAATGCTTTGCTCAAACGAATTAACCTGAAAGTTTTGCAAAACTCAAAGCACTACCCATTTCAGCTGTGGCTGGCTTCCAGTCACATTCAGCTTCAGCTGAAGTATGCTCCCCGCCCCGTACTGTGGAAAGTACGGGACCAGGTTCCCAAGCCCAAACTTGCCACTTACTCTGTGACAATCTCAGGAAAGTTACACAATCTTTTTGAATCTGTTTCCTCATAAGGATAATAAAACTTGAATTAGATAGTTTCCAAGTTCCAATACGCAATATGTAAGCCTCATGACCTTTAATCCCTACAAGATTCTTATTCCTTTTGCCTTCTTTTGGATTTTTCCTCTATTTATTTATTTAGCTATTTTTTTTGTTTGTTTCTGCATATTATGGGGGTACAAATGTTTAGGTTACATTGCCCTTGCCTCCCCCTCCCAGTCAGAGCTTCAAGTGTGTCCATCCCCCAGATGGTGCGCATCGCACTCATTATGTTTGTATATACCCATCCCCTCCTCCCCACTCCCATCTGCCCAACGCCAGATAAATGTTATTCCTATATGTGCACTTAGGTGTTTATCAGTGAAACCAATTTGCTGGTGAGTACATGTGGTGTTTATTTTTCCATTCTTGGGCTACTTCACTTAGTAGAAAGGATTCCAGCTCTATCCAGGAGAATACAAGAGGTGCTATATAACCATTGTTTCTTATAGCTGCATAGTACTCCATGGTATACATACACTACATTTTATTAATCCACTCATGTATTGATGGGCACTGGGTTGTTTCCACATCTTTGCGATTGTGAATTGTGCCGCTATAAACACTCGAGTGCAGACGTCTTTATAGAGTGTCTTTTGTTCTTTTGGGTAGATGCCCAGTAATGGAATTGCTGGATCAAATGGTATCCACTTATATCCCTTTAAGGTATCTGCAGATTGCTTTCCACAGAGGTTGCACTAGTTTGCAGTCCCTTTTCCTCTATTTATTATACACCTCACCCAAGACTAAGGAAGTGCCTTTAATACACATATAGCACTACTGTAGCCAGAACTAAAAGTGAAAGCTAAATAGTCTTTTCACATTTTCCTGGAAATATAGGGAAAGAGTACAGAAAACGAAGACTTCCTTTTCAATAAGCTTTCCAAAAAAGTGAAGCCCTCAGGCATCCCCTCTCACAGCCTCTACCAAATGCAGCCCGGACCCCAGGCCCATTAGTGGACAGTGACCGCGGTCTCAGGAGATGGTCTCCTACCCTGGCGTCCGGGCTCTGAAGTCTGCGTGTAGTCCAGGGAGTTGGGGAGGCTCTGGCTCCGACCATGGCGCTGGGTCCGTTTCCATCGCTGGCTGTAAAGGACGCACAGGAATCCAAGGCCAGCGGCGGTGCCCAGCAGCAGTCCCAGACCCGCGCGGGCACCGCCCAAGGACCCCAGTCTAGACATGCTGCACCTGTAGCCCACGTGAGCCACGAGCGGGCGAGCGGGGAGAGATTCGTGAGCCTGGTAAACTCACCCCCCAAGGCCGAATCCTGCCTAGACCCTGACTACGCTCACCCCAATCTGGACCCTAGGGATTCCTCCAGCCCCCGGAGCCTGACTACCTTGTCTCTCACCCAGCCTGGACGTAGCCTCTCCTCCAGCACACCCCCGACCCGGTTCGCCGAGTCCAGCTTCTGAGCCTTCAGCCCCCACCTCAGCCTCACCACACTGCAGACAACAAACCCGCCACTCTGGCTGCAATCTCCTGGCCTCCTCCGTGTCCCCGAAGGCGCTCTGGCCTGGCAGGAGAGCAACCCAGACCCTTACCCGGCCGCTAGCCACCATGACAGCAGACGCCGCAGCCTGTCAATAACCGTGACGTCAGTCAGACGGCGCCGCGGGCTCCCCGCACCGCAGGAAGGCGCGGTGAGATGACCACACAGGCTCCGCCTCCGGCCCCTGATGCCCTTGGGGGGCGGGGCCGCGGGCGCGCCAGAGGGGCGGAGCCAGCAGCAAGCTGGAAAGGGGAACCGGGAAAGCCGAGAGAAGGGAGGGGAAAAAAGCAGGAAAGCTGGGAGGTTTCCTGGGCTGGACACTCGAGCTGTAACTCCCACCTCTCAGGTCTGGCCAGCTAAGATTCTGTTTCCCTCCAGTCACACCAGGTTACTTGGTGCTCCCGGAATAGGCTCAGCGTACTCACGCTTTCTACTTTCGCTTCTGCTTAGAACGACCCCTTCTCTACCAGGAAAACCGCCTTTCCTTGACACTGTCATGGCACAGACTTCTTTCATTTCGGCTTAATTTTATAGTTTATAGATGTTTTACTCAAACCATGTACTAAGCCCCAACAATAGCGCCTTTGAAAATAGCGCTAAGATCAAATGAGAACAGATAAATTATTGCCTATCCACAAGAGGTCCCCAATTCCCCAGGGCCAGCATCTGCCAGCTGACAAATTATAGATGCACATCCAGCATTAAAAAATCTTAAATCAACTTTCTCGTTTTTACATTAAGCAGGGACAGGTTAATGTAAACTTTTTCTATTCCAGAATGGATAGAATCTTTGAAATTTATTTATCTGATGATAATGTTTTTTAACATTTGGTTGAGAACCATTTCAGGTTTTGTTTAATTTGTTTTCAATCTGTATTAGTAAGTTTTTCTGTGTCCACTAGTGACCCATAGATTCTTTTATAATTCCATTTTACTGTTCTGATTTTATGCAACTTCTTGTACTTCTGGAAACTAAAGAGACTATGATTTTATGGACTATGATTCTAATTTTATTGTCAATTTTTTTTTTTTTTGAGTCAGGGTCTCACTCTGTTGCCCAGGCTGGAGTACAGTGACATCATCATAGCTCACTACAACCTCAAACTCCTGGGCTCAAGCGATGCTCCTGCCTCGGCCTCCCAATTGGCTGAGACTACAGGTGCACACCACCACACCCAGCTAATTTTTAAAATTTTTCATAGAGATGGTATCTCATTATGTTGCTCAGGCTGGTCTCGAACTCCTGGCCTCTAGCAATCCTGCTGCCTCAGCCTCTCCTAGTGCTGGGGTTACAGGTGTGAGCCACTGCTCCTGGCCTAACATTTCTTAAGAGTTAAAATTTAGTTTAGTGACAGCTGAAATATCTAGGCCTGTCCTCCGAAAACCCTTGACTACGTCTTATATTTATTTACCTTTTAATTGTGAGGTATTTTATATATATAAGAATACGTTTAATGTATATGTGCATTGTAAAGAAGCACTATAAGTGCATTGAGGTGCCTACCACAGTTTAAGGAATAGAACTTCACCAGTACCTCCTACTCATTTATTTTTATTTTTTATTTTTGGCGACCCAGATGGGACTCAAAACTCCTACTCATTTCTAAAGATTCAGTTCAATTAGTCCCTTTTGAGATACACTAAGGGATTAACTATGATTGTTTTGGTGGTAAGAGTGTTTTTAATATCTTTTTCCAGTATTTTTTCTCACTTTTCTGTAATAAACGTGCATCACTTGTGTAATAAAAAATATTAACTTTATTTTTGAGGAAATAAAAGCTCATTTCCTCTGAGAAACCTTCTCAGATCACCACCTTGGTGGAATTAATCTTTTTATCTTTCTCTGTTCCTGAGGCTGTTACCTCTATTACACTTGGTTCTGTGATTATTTGCTTTCTAGTCTGTCTACCCCACTGGACTGCTCACTCTTCCAAGATGGGGTTCATTTCTGCTTCATTTCCATGTTCCCTGTGCCTAGCAGAAGCCGTCCATAAAAGCTGAATGGGGGAAGGAAGGAGAGAAGGAATGGCTAACACCCAGGCCCTGCCACTTGGACAGTGCTTTCTCAGATGTGATGGAAAGCTCATTTGCAGAACAATTTCTCCTCTCTACCAGGGGAGGCAGCTCTGCTAGATAAACTGATTGTGGTGAGAGACTAGGCCAGATGGACAGACTAAATGGGGGAATTCATTTCCCCCTGGATATTAAAGATGTTATCTGGCAAGGCATGTGGCTGCCAGGACAATCAGCAGTGTGGTAGGTGGTTGTGGATGGAGCTCTTTATCTCATGCTGCATCTGCAGACCAGTTTTGCAAATGGAATAAAACCCTGGCAGCCTGAGATATGCCCCCCAACCCCACCCCGCTTCTCTTTCCCACCAGCTCCAGAGCCCAGCATGGGAGAGGTGAGCAGAGCAGACCTCAAACTCCTGTCCTGCCCTCTGTGCAGAACATCTGCCTCAGCTCCCTGGCTCTTCCAAGAGAGGTGACAAGTCGAATGCCTTGGGATTGTAGCCTTACCCCTTGTGTATAATGTCTAAGGTTCTTGACGCTTTAAAAAATAGTTTTTGGCCAGACATGGTGACACATGCCTGTAGTCCCAGCTACTTGGAAGGCTGAGGTAGGAGAATCATTTGGTGATGCTGCTGTACTCTAACTGGGCAACAGAGCAAATTAATTAATTAAAAATAAAAAGTTTAGTTTTAAAAAGTGTTATTAAATATTTAGTGGCTATAAAAGAATATTAATAATGTATGTATACAGATTAAGAATACATTTATAAGACTCTTAGTGTAAGAAAGAGAACATCACATCTCTGCATGTTCCTCCATATTGCATCCCTTTCCTGTCTCAGAGGTAACTATTAATAGTAACTGCTCCCCAAATATTATATTTATCATTCTCTTTTCTTTATAATTTGACCACGTTTTTATCCACAAACAATACGTTGTTTAGTTTTGCATGTTGTGAGCTTTATGTAATTAGAATTATTCTATATTTTTTCTAAGCTTTGCTTTTTCACTCAGCATTTTCATTGTCATACAATTTCTATTGTATGACTCTACCAGAAACTTTTTTTCCTTTTTGAGACAGAGTCTTGCTCGGTTGCTCAGGCTAGAGAGCCATGGCGTCAGCCTAGCTCACAGCAACCTCAAACTCCTGGGCTCAAGCGATCCTCCTGCCTCAGCCTCCCGAGTAGCTGGGACTACAGACATGCGCCACCATGCCCAGCTAATTTTTTCTGTATATTTTTAGTTGTCTAGCTAATTTCTTTCTATTTTTAGTAGAGATGGGGTCTTGCTCTTGCTCAGACTGGTCTTGAAATCTTGAGCTCAAATGATCCTCCCGCCTCGGCCTCCCAGAGTGCTAGGATTACAGGCGTGAGCCACCACGCCCGGCCGTTACAGATGTTTTTAATTTTATTTTTTGCTAATCCATAAGGCAATACCTCATTGTGGTTTAAAATGTAGTTTAATTTGCATTTCCAGATTTCTAATGATATTGAGCATAATGTTATGTTTGTTGGTGTCATTTCCATTTCCTCTTTCGTGAAGTGCCTTATTCAAGTCAGTTGCCCATGTTTTTCTATTGGTTTATCTTTTTCTCACTGATTTTTGGAGTTCTTTCCAGGTGCTGGATATTGTCCGTTTTAACAAATCCTTTGTTAAGCATGAATATGTTTTATCTCTCTGGCTAAACTGTTAGTCCAGTGGGTAGAGGATAGGGGTGGGGACCACAGAATAATAAATTAGCCCAGTTAAGATCCTTTAGGATTACAACTTCCTACTTCCCTATAGCTCTTTCCATGTCTGTCAAAGTGTTGGAGGCACCAAGCACGCTCTATAAATGCCCCTGAAGGAAGCGAAGATTTTTCCAGGGCTGGGGAGGGAAGGTTATAGGCTGTTTTTGTTTTGCTTTTTTTCTTTAGAGAACCAATTACAACGAGGCAGATTAAGAAAGAACTGTCAGATTGTGATACATCGGATGAGGGCATGGACGCATAGTTGGGAGCTCACTGGTGGCTGGTGAGGGGGAAGTTATTTCATTTGCCACAGGTGTTGCCTGGTGACCACCGCGTGCGCCGCGTATCTCCAGTTGCACGCGAAGTTCCTCAGATGGAGCGCCAGGTTCCATCTCTTTAGTCCCTCCAGACCTGGCACCCAGCCAAGCGCGCAGATCCTTTAGAGACTTACCTTAAGACCACAGAAGTGCAGTGACCCGCCGCTGTACTAGGAATTAGAGTCTAGGGGGCGGGAATGTGCAGCGTGCCGGGGTGGTATTTAGCTGTAGCACCCAGGGCTAGCCACAAGCCTCCTGCCCTGCTCTCCCTAGCGCTTAAGGAATGTCTAGAGAACGTGTCTTGGAGAGGGGAATTGGGGACCCGCTAAAGCTGTAGAGGCGTCCCTGGACGGGGTGTGCTGGAGTCTGGGGAGGCCTCAGCAAAGTCGCCGTTTGCTCTCTGCTCTGCATCACGGGGACCGGGCAGGACCAGCAGGACTTTGGAACCTGACCGGGAGGTATTGCAGGAAGAGGGCGCGGAGTAAACACGCGGGCTTGCGCCACGGCCGCTGCAGCCAAGTCGAGTCCCCCGGGCCACGCTCGTCTCCCTGCCGCGGGAGCGCTCCTTCTCCCCGACCTCTCCTCCCCGCAGCTGGACCACCCGGCGGAAGGCACGGGTCAGCCCGGGTTCCAAGTCCACTGCCAGAAGGCAGGGGCGGGCCCCCAACCGCAGGGGGCGGGCGCGTCACAGCCTCCGCTCCTGATTGGCCGGCCGGGGTTGGCGCCGCCCGTGGCCGGAGCCGTACTAACGGGACTCCGGGCGGCGGGGTCGCAGTCCCGACGCGAGAGGGGCTGGCGTTGGTGCCGAGCCCAGAGCCGCGGGGTGGCAGCTGGACGGGACGCGCGCACCATGCCCTACCTGCTCATCAGCACCCAGATCCGCATGGTGAGTACCCGCCGCCCGGCGACTCGGAGCCCGGTGCGGGCCCGAGGAGGGCTGCGACCGCGCCTTCGCGCCTCGCTCCCGGGCAGCGCCCCCAGGGGACTGGACACGCCCCCTCGGCCGCCGAGAAGGAGCTGGGGGAGCCGGCGCCGCGCGACCCCCGGGCTCAGGGAGCCCTGGCCGGCCCGGAGCCCCAAGGCTGCGGAGGG